AATTCAGGTTCGTTCAGCGATCACATGCGCTTCAGGCACTCCATCATCTCAACAGCAGAGTTATATATTCTGAAAGTCTCAGGGTTTGCTATTCCCACTACTCTTGGGCCTGAGATCCTGAGATCTGCAATGTGGCCTGTTCTCAAGAACTCCCTCACTCAGCGTTTCTGCATAGGCTATGATTATGTTTTCGAAAGACCTCTCCAACGGGCCTGTGCTCGTGGACCAGTGCAGTGGCAGCCTCCTCGTCGGACAGAGCGGCCCTGAGCTCCGCAGCTGGAGTTCGGGACTCATGCAAGCTCATGCAAGCTGCTGAAGAAATACCTCTGCAGGCTCCGCCCCCACTAAAGCCCCCTGCTACTCCACATCGGATCCTGGCCTGAGCTGTGCCAAAACAGCAATGGTGGTGGGATGCTGGAAACCTCCCGGTGCCGAAGAGTCAGCTGTCGGCTGAGGGTTGAAGTTGAAGGTTGACGCTTCATCTTTAGGATTTGGGTGCGAAGGCTTGAGGAATGGAATCGCTAAATCTGACTTCTGCAACGAACCTAGGCCAAAATATCTTTCAAGCTTTGGGAGTCCCAAGTCCAGCCGACCCCGAAGCACCAAAGGCAGTCGGCACCTAGGGTTTGCTGGAGGCCGGCCAGCGCTTGCCGAAAGGCCGCCACGCCCTGAGGTGGGGGGCGGGGGGGTGCTAAGGCCGCGACATCTGAAGCAAGCTACTCGGTGCCCGAATGGCAGAAGTCCGGACTGTAACATGCAAAGTTGTCCGGGGTATGGTCTTCCACGGAGGATGGCAAGTGCGGGGATATCTGAACCTCCGAATTTGCTTTCCGACCTGGTGTTTCGGCGCCTCCCTGCAAACAGGTTTCGAAACAACCGGGTTCCTAATCTTCGATGGTTCAGAGAAGACTGCACATTCGCGAGATGGCGGCCGCCAGCATACAAGCCATGAAAGGCCGAATCTAGCATGCAGGAGAATGCACCGTCTCCACTAAGAGCTAGAGCAGCTAGAGGCCTTGTGCCACATGCATCCCACGTATTAGATGCGCAGAGCCGAAAGCCCTTGTAGCAAGCCGGCTGGGGATCTCAGAACTCAACAGATTCGACTCCATACAATACGTGCCTACAACAGCACTGCTGCTGTCGTAAAGTATGGGGATGCCCCAGCAATCCTGCACTTCGATGTTGTGCACACCCTCATCTGATGACACTGATGCTCACCTCCTCTCTGCGGCTGGCCGCAAAGAGGGTAGCGCCCAAATCACGGCGAGCCTCCCGGGGCTTGCACCGGTCAGGACAAGAAAGCAAACGAACCTTTGGGGCGCCACTTTACGGCATTCTGAGCCCCAAGACGCGGCGTCAGTTATCCCCGTTCAAGTCTCCAGAGAGGTATATCAATGCCGACAACCTCTTCCCGTATTCGCCAACATCAAAGGGCCCAAAGTTGCGCCTCTAGAGCCTCTGGGTGCGATGCACCCAGCAGTTGATACTTCCCCTGGCGTCGAGCTTCTGGGTTCTTACAACACGTTGCGGGACGTCGTCAAGGCCTGTAGGCCAAGCCCTTCGGCTCACGGTTCGGAAAGCTCAACAGCTCAAGGTGAGCTCGGGTCTCTCAGACTTCGGGTTAAAGGCCCTTCAATGACCCTTCTCGATCCGCCATCCCAATCGAAATCCCGCAATCTCGGATCACAAGCCTTGAACGACCGGGTTCGAATCCCACCACAGTAGAGTGCGAGTTCGCGTTGCCGAAAGACTCAAGAAATTGCACGAACACGCAAGCACAGAAATGTAAACTCCGCACCACGTACAGTATTCGACACAACACCATGCCATCAAAGTCGTACACCCTCGAATCCGTCCGGCTCAACACCGCCTTGACCCTGCCCTCCAACACAATCAATAACCTGCAAAAGCAAAACACACCTGAAGCGCTGACATCACAAATCCCTGACATCTCCAAAGAGCATTAAAGTAAATCATGCCTCGGCAGCTTCGCGTGCCACCAAAGCTGCAGCCTTGAGACAGTATGAAAGCAGGTGATGAGTGCCTCTAGTACTCAAATATAGGGTAGGACAACTCTATTCTTACGGCTTCAGACCAAACTGGCCGCTCGCACAACGGACAAGTTCATGAACCTCAGTAGCGCTCATGCGACAGCATTATAACAGTCGGTACACTAGTATGCACAGCCGCGAGCTGTGGCAAGTTGGCGCACCGAGGGCGCTCTGGCAAACAGTCGGAAAGAATACCAACATACACTTACACTCGGGGAAACCATAAAGACATGGTCTAGGGCCACTACCGTGCAAATGTAGATGATTACCTCCAAGGGCTCCACAGCAACACACTCATTCGTCAGGCCCTTCAGCTCCAAGCTGATTCTCCGGCCTGTGCAGCTGCGGCATCACCAAGTTGCCCGCGGCTTGACAGTGCCAGGCTCAGATTCCTCGAGGCGAGGGCAGTTGAGGCTGGGTTGCTGGTACCCTCTTGTGCGAGGTTCTCAAGTTTATGACGTTAAAGTTTTGAATTCTGGTGTTGCATATTGGAGTTGGAGAGACATCTGGAAATCTGCTCATGCGGTCCATTGAGTTGCCAAGAGCAAATTGAAGACAGAGACTGCAAGATCTCGAACATGAGGTACGCACACCCTCAAACATAGTCGGGTCAATCTCTGGAGTAGGAAGGCTTGCTACGAGTTTGCAGATGAAGCTCCCGCCGCACGCTGCTACACTTTTGAAACCTACAAGAGCTCACTCAATGCCTCCATGCGAGTGAACCGTGGATGTTTTAAAACTCCGCCCCGATATTTTTCGTAAGTTTCGAAGACTCTCAGCTTTCTAGGGCGGTATGAGCAACGGGGGTTCGGCAAACCGATTAAAAAATACAGGCGTATATATATATATATATATACACGTATGTATATGTATATGTACATGTACATGTATATGTACACGTATATGCACATGTATATGTAGATGTAGAGGTGTATGCATATGTTGCTGTGAATGTGCATGTGTATTTGTATAGGTAGATGTATGCTTGTTTATATGTACAGGTATCTGCATAGGTATATGTCAAACATATATGTACATGTAAACACGTGAATACATACGTATATACGCACATATACATGCATATACATGCATGCATATAGCACAGCACTAAATGTTGCACAATACAGTGTATACCATATATTGTCCAACAGATAACACAGTCTATGCTCATGAAAATGTCGTGGAATATAACCTAATAGAATATAACATATATATATATAAGGAATATTCGCATGCATAATTGTGCTTACATATACAACAATACTGATGATAATAACAACAATAAGGTCAGTAACAACAATGATAGAAACAACGATACTGCTCAAGGCTGTTGTACTGATTACCAGTTGTACAAGTAAAAAAAACCATAATGTCATTTGTAATGTCATTTGTAAACAATAGACATGCAGATACAATAAGAGTTTACACACGTAATGAAAAACAAGTAAAGCTGTATTGAACAGAAGCAAATGGCAAACACAGAATACAGAAATAGTTGATAAAAGGTAGACAAATCATAGACAGGTAACTGACAGTTCAGTGATAAATAATGAAATATAATATATATATATATATATATATATATGGAATTATGTATCTAATGAAATAATTAGGTAACGAAGCCTTGTACGTGACCGGCGTTTGGCGCCACACAGAAACTAGGTATGCACTGGAAAACGCATATTATTGATGGCGAAGTGCTGCATAGGAAGGGCCGAAATGTGTAACAGTGTCCTTTTACAAGAGATAATGATGCTTTTGCTACAGTAAAGCACGTTTTGGCTCCGGGCATTTGCGAAACTTCAGTCAGCTGTTGGCATCTGAGCACAGCTTTGCCAGTGCTTTGCACGCATCCGTATGCATGCGTCGGAATCGAAGCTGCCGGATAGTCAAGTTGACAGAAGCAGCCGCCAAGACAGAGACCAAGGCAAGTCACGAGGCCTCTAACGACTTTAACGATCCCGCCTCTGGAGTTGACCACGTGAGTCGAGGGGTTTGGGTTAAAGGATTACTATGCCTGAACAATTTATGACATCATTCCTTAGGGTTCCGTGTATATATATATATATATATATATATATACCTATAAACTCCTCCGGCTATTATTTTCGGCGCCAAGGAATGTAGCAATTATTTCCGCCGCCAAATCCCAGAACCGCCGACAATAAACAAAAGCGCCGACAGAAAACCAAAAGCGCCGCCAGAGACCTTAGACTCATATTGTTAAGACACGAAAACAAACAGTCTGGACAATAACAGCATGGAATCAGACCGAAATTCCGAAGCCCTGAAGCCCGGATTAGATTTAGGGTTGAGGTTGGGCGGTGCTCGAACAGTTGAGAGTGGCTAACGAGTCTTAAGGCTGGGGCTGGGCGATGTTCGAAGAATTCAGAATCGCTAAGGTAGGTCTAAACAGCATTTGTCTGTTGATGGCTGAAGCATCAGGACGATGGTTGTGAGTTCGCTGTTCCAACAACAACAAAACGGTTTGGGATTCGAGGCTAAAGCGGCTCGGGGTCGGAAGGCCGAGGTTTCGTTGTTGGGAGTCCAAAGTGTGAAGTTAATCCCGGAGCCACCAGAACCTTCGAGGTTTGAGAGGCCTTGTGGCTCAGAGCTGTTCTTCGAAGAACCCCGAAGCCCTGAACTTGAAGCACCTTTCAACCCGCAGAGCCCGGCAGTCCAAACCCCCTCGAAGATTAGCTGTGCGTCCTTCAGAGGACTTTGTAGCCCTGAAACCTAAACTCCCCTAAACCCCACTAAACCCCAACCCCTCGGCACTCCATCCTTCGTTTTGCCGGCGATTCGTCGACGACTGCCGACTGCTGGAGTGCTAGAGTCCTTGCTGCAAGCCTGGTGCTCCTTGGGCTTCCTATGCTTATACCCAGACCCTAAACCTGATTTAGATATACTTACAGGGAATGGTATACTTAGAGCCCGTGGAACACTTTAGAGCCGCAGCTTTCGTTGTGCTCGGTCAGCTCGGTGCCTCCTGATGAGAGCCGCTTTTTTGAGGAAGTGTCGTTGCAGCACCCTCTTGCTTATGGTTCTCACAGAAACTCGGACCGACAGAGCACAGACTCGACCGATAAGGTCCTCTCCTTGCTCACACCCCCACATGATGGGGTTCGGGATGAGCTTTGCATTGGCCAGCAGTGCCACTCGGATCTCATGTGCCACATGATGGATGCCGTGGAATTTGGGCTTCAAGGAGTAGAACGGCATATCCATCGCCAAAGCCTTTGCACCCAGATGCTTGTAGCCCGACAGCATGGACATCAACCTCAAATAGAGATTTTGGGCACATGCCCTGGGGAGCCACAGACCATGTTTGTACATCAAATTGAAGGCCTTCTGGGACTCCTGGATCGTCTTCTTCAGCACACGAAACAAAACAGCATGTGCAGCTGGCAAGTTGGATCTTCTCAGCAGGATCGCCACAAAGAAGCTGAGATATTCCAACAAGAGCATGGTATCCGAACCCTTGGAGTTCGTCCATGCGAAGTCGCTCAACCGTTTCAGATTGAATAACGACTTCGAAAAGTATCGCAAAGCTGCGGTTTTATGCGAGGCCAGCCGCCACAGTTTGAAGTGTGCAAAGGCTCGATTGAGCCTCGCCTTGATGTTTGTCTCATCGCTGCCATTGGGATCATCGTAATAGCCCAGGCGAGCCAATAAAACCAGGGAGCCACAAATGTCTCGCCCAAGCCCAACTTTGAAAAGATGAAACATGTCATATTTCAGGACTCTTTCCGGTGCATCGTTGTCATGAGGGACATTGCACATACCAGGTGTCGAGTCCCAAGGTCGCTGCTGGTAAAGTGTCGAAGCCCAGGATGGCTCGTGAGCAAGCTCATCAAAAGGAATCGCTGCACTCGTGCCCGCCATGCAATGTGCACAGACACCATTGTGGTTCACAGGACCCAAACGGGCATAGTATCGGTTCAGATAAGCAATCTTTTCAGCGATTTGCTTCATATCGCCTTTGATCCCAACCAAGCAAGCCGTGTAAATTTTCCCACCAACCTCCGGGCCTGAAGAAAAAAGCATCGTGAGCTCGTCAGCAACCTGCTGTGTCATCTGTTCCAAAACTTCTGGATGGTGTTTGTAGACCCAGTCAGGGAGGCCAAAAAGCACATGTCTGGTGAGGTAGGAGTGGCCTTTATTTGTATGGCTTTGCTTCAGGGCGGCGTGCTCCATCGGCGTGTACGGGCCGGCTGCCTGCTGGCCCGGAACAAATTGCTGCGGCGACTTCTCCACATCCTCTTTGCAAGTGCAAGTAAAGTCATCGGGCACATCCCACAAGCCGATCGGCGACTCGATGGAGGCCACTACGAAGTTGCCTCGCTTCGGGCCCTTGCCTTCGTCTGAATAAAAAGCCAGCGGAATCGTGGTCCCGAGGTCCAGCCCTCGATCGAACACCGGATGGGTGCTGTGAGTCTGTCTGTAAGCCATCCAGAAGGCCTCCAGCTGGCTTTCCAAAGACTCGTTGCCCCCAGCGAGCAATGAAGGATTCCGTTTCAAGAGGTACTGCATCCAGTCTTGCACTCGTATATAAGCAGTATCAACTTTCTCTCTGTCCTCCAGCACGAAAGCCTTTTCCATTATTGGCACAGGCAAAGATAAACCCCAGTGGTTAAAGAACCTGTGACAATCTCTCTCCTCGTTCGGTGCCTGCCGTCTTTTTTCCTCCGGCTGCTCCGGATGCAGCATCTGACTGATGCACCGTTTGGTGTCTTTCGCAGTGACCTCGGCACGTTAGGTTTGGCGGGACACTAAGCATTAGAAACATAGCCTTTGGGTTTTCTAGAGCGGGCTTAAGTATACCAAATAAACTTTCAGATGTCCAGTACAGAATATATTCTTGATACAAATAACGATTTCCCAAATGTCCAATTTGGAGACACCCTTATCGACTCGGAAATGAGCCTGGGCTTCTGATTGCACTTTGGGTTGGGGGCTCTTCGGAATTCCTGATACTGAATGAAGGCTTTGGAACTTCAGCTTCGAGGACGGATAGAAGTCGGCTGAACCCAGACCCTAAGCTCTACTTGCCCAAACCCTAAAAGATTAACGACTTGGGTTTTCTCGTTTCTTTTGAATGGGATTGCGGCGTGGATTTCGGGATTGCAGAACATCGGGAGCTTGTTGAAAGACACGATGCATTACTCTTATTACGAGAGCAGGGGCTCTAGGGTTTAAGGGTTTTTGGGTATGGGGTCTTCAAGGTTTGGTCACCCGGCCGATGCCCGACCTGCTTGAGTTTTGTATCAAACCCTCAGGGCTAGTCGTATAGTGATCACATTGCATCGCATAAACTTTAGAAAGGCTTGTTCCTCAATCCGAAAAAGTATAATATGTCGATCCTGGAAGATTCTGTTGCGATCATGAATGAAAGCTTGCCCCACTCATAAACCTTCAAGCTTACACGATTCGGTACCGTCAGCATGAAACCTTACCCTTGGACTATGAGTCTCGCCTTTCCCCCAACCATAAAGCTCCGAAGCTGCAGCCCTAAAGGTACATTGGCCTCAGCACCGAATCGTAAGCTCCAGACCGTGAGCCCTTATAAATCCTTGGGTGGCAAAAAGAACCCTAAGCCTTCCACCATAAGTCCCTAGGCCATAAACCGAACCTAAACTCCAACAGAATCCGAGGATCCGGACTCCCTCGCCTAGCATCTCGGCATACTGGGAAGCTCGGCCGAAATCGACCGGCTCCTCGTCGGAGCCTGGCATGCGAGGGTAGGGTTGTAGGGTTGCGAACTTTAGGGGCTTTGTTCGGGATGTAGTTGTAGGCTAGAGCTTCCTAAGTATGGCTTGGGGGGTTGAAGGTTGTTCGGGATGTAGTTGTAGGCTGGACCTCATAAGTATGGCATGGGGGGGTCCTCCGGCGCTTCAGGTCGCTTCGCACAATGGTTTAGGGAATAGTGGTAAGGGTTTCGGGCGAGGGCTCGATTTGGGTTTCCGTTTGGGGCATTAGCCTAAGCTTCCAGGAGAGGGTTGAACATTTTAGAGCCCGAATCCGGAATAGAGATAATTACTCAAGTCACTTCAAGTCCAAGCCCAAGATCTTAGCTAGAAACTAACCCGCCAACCTATCGACGAATCTACCTACTTCCCTACCTACCCATACCTGCCCTGCCTTGCCCAACCTATCGCCCACCTATCTACCTAAATACTTACACACACACACAGACTCACTTACTTTTGCAGCGGCAACCCAGCAACGATCTGGCGAGACACAGTGTCCAAAACACTGTTTGAATCTCATGAATCAGCTCAGCGGTGCCTGCAACGAGCTGTCCTATCACAACAGTATTATACCGACTAGAGTAGTAACCCTTGGCACTGCCTGCGGAGCTGAACTCTGCTAGCACTTACACGAGGCGTGGCTACTTCTTGGCTCGCTTGCTGGGCTTTTCCTCGTCTTCCTCATCATCAGTCGCCTTCTTCCTCGGGGCCACCTTTCCTTTGGCATGCGGCTTGGCTTTGGCCTTTGTTTTCGGATCGGGCTTCTCGGGTACCTTCGTCGGCATCCTGGGTGCAGAACGTACATGGATGATGAGTTGGACAGAAACCGCTTGGAAAGCAGCAAATAGTCTTCACAACACAATACAAAGACAAGAAACTTCATGCTCTTCGATCGCTCAGAAATCATCTCTGCCTCCACGGCCCTGGGTATTCTTGACTTGCGAGATTTGAATGGAAGGGTATCAGGCGGCAGGACTACGGTTTAGGGTTTAGGGGTTTAGGGTTTAGACACAACAAACACTCAGGTTGAAGATCAGTGGTATGCACAGATGCCAAGCCAAGGTGCTTCGTCTTCGCTTCCTGGAAGAGCATGCGAAGCCTCTTCTGGTCCCTTGTCAGGATTCAGGGGCTGAAGGGGCTTCAGGCTTACAATCCTACTCAACAAGAGCGAGGTACTGGACTAGGAAATTCAAGACAAGCTTCTCCTTCGTGAAGCCAGCAGCAATCCCACGACTATAGATAGTCGTAATTCTGTCCTCCAAATCACCCACTGCGTCGATGACCATCTTGAGGCTGTCTCGAAACCTTGCTTTCTGAGTTACTTGGGATTTGAAGCACACAGTGCATCGACTAGGCCCAAGCACATTTACAAATAATTGTTTAGATGAGGATCTTGAGTTGGGTCGTGGTGAGGGAGATGCTTGCATCCGACTCCATCTTCGCCAGGAGAAGCTGGAGTTTGTTCGCCCTCTTCTGGAGGCAGCCGGTCACCAGCATACTGGCATCTTGCGGTTTCTTGGGAATCTCCGGATAGGCGATCCTTTTGAGGATCCGGGCAGCCTCTTCCCCATCATCACTGGAGTCACTCTCCTCCTCGTCATCACCTGCCGGCTGCATTTGCGGATTTGTATAGGTATCCTATATCTTTGGATTTCGGGCTTCGAATCTAAGCCTTTGGGGAATAAGCTGTTGGGGGATTAGGCTTTAGTTTTCCAGGGGTTGAAGGTCCCAGGGATTGAGGATTCTACTTGTAGGGATCTCGGGCCAAGGGTCGACGACCATATATCACCGTGCGTGGGTCGTGGGTCGGGCGGTTTGCAGCTAGGCTATATCGTAGGTTTAACGGGTTTGGGTAATGGAACGACAAGTCTGCTGATGCTCAGCAAGGATTGGAGTCCTGGCCTTTGGGTTGTTTAAGGTTTGGTTCAATGACTACAGGGTCTAGTGCTGGGGATGACTATTGGCCATAGAATCTAGGAATGGGGATCTCGATCGGCACCCGTAGATATTGAGCTTCCGAATGTGGTGTTCCGAGTTTCTTCTTTAGACTTGAGGGATCGGGATCTTAAGTTTAAGGTTTAGGCAAGTTAGACATGTTGCTTGATGCTTGGCCTCGACACTTCTTTCCAAAGACATAACACAGGTATATCCTGAATCTGACACCTTAAACCCAGGCTTTAATCCCTAACTTTGCCAGGCCCCCGATTGGCTTTAGTGGGATCACGACAGCCTCCGACCAGCCCTGACAAACCCTACTTTGGCGAATTCGCAAACACAAGCCCTGACCCCTCCTGAACCCCAGTATATACTAAACAAGACTATTTAATATCCTGAACCCCAGTATATACTAAACAAGACTATTTAATACCGAGCCGAAGACAGGAAAGCAAAAAGCCCCGGAACCTGAAGAACAAGGCACTATTTAATAGCACCACGAACAATAGCCCGATATCGACACCCAGGTACCTTCCCCTTGCTTCTTATCTCCGTCTCCCTCAAGCTCGAAAGGGAAGTTCTCCATTGCTTCATCAGGATCCTGCATGGGCTCCTGGTCGGCACCCTCCAGGAGCTCGGTCACGGTGTGCCGCTTCGTCTTCCTGAGGTAGATGGAAAGGGTAGGGTTTCAAGGTTAGGCTGTAGCGATCAAAGTATACGTGTAACGAATATAATGTTTAGCCACGGCACTTGTTGGATCCTCTCACTCGCACAGCAACCCAGTACATCCACTCGTCACAGTACTCGGATTTCCTGTGCAAGAGACTAGCATCAGGCACAGAATCACTAGCAAAACATTCGTATGCAAACGGAAGACAACTGTTGCATCTCCTCTTGTACCCCTGCCGGCGCTCGCAGCTTTTCTTGGCACCCTTGATCTTCTTCCTCAGCAAAGCACTGAGAAGAACAGCACTGCTAGTCTGCAAGGACCGTGAAGGAGCCACAGGAGAGTGTAGATAGTCATGCAACAGGAGCTCATGAAACTGGTTTGTTTTAGCGAGGCACTCGCTCCATCCTTTCTCTTCCATCTCCGCCTCTGTGAGGAATTCGAATTCCGTTTCCACAGATTTCTCATTGATCTCTTCGTATCGCTGGTTGACTTTCTTCGTGAAAATCACCTGGCTTCCAAGCTACACATTAAATAAAATTCACACACACTCCCCCTCACCATGGCACTCTTACCGTTTGCAAGCGTGACGGCGAAGCGGGGTCGCCACCACATTTCTCGAAGGCACGGTACACATCATCCCGGGATTCCAGATTCTTGTGGGTCTGGATGATCTCGAGCGGGACTTTGTAGGTCCCATCCGCTTTGGGTGCACATATGCGTGCCAGCCTCTTCATCAAAGTGGCCTTGCTGATGGGAGGAGGGGGTGGGTGATCTTCCACCGGGGCCACGTACTCATCCTCCTCTGGTTCGTTCTTGGTTGCTTTCGGATCTTTGGTGTCCTTGTTTGTGGGCCGGGTGTTCGTGCCTGGCTTCTCCGGCTGGCTCGTCTTGGCCACGGGGGGTGCTTTCGACGTGTCTGGCTTCTCGGGCTGGCTGGTCTTGGCCACGGGGGGTGCTTTCGACGTGTCTGGCTTCTCGGGCTGGCTGGTCTTGGCCACGGCGGGTGCTTCTGACGTGTCTGGCTTCTCGGGCTGGCTGGTCTCCACGGCGGGTGCTTCTGACTTGCTTTGGGATCCTAGGGCGGCTTGCTCTACGGCTTCGGGTTGGCTGGCTCCGGGCTCGGAACTCGTATTCTTCTTTTCAGGCGTGGGTTGGCTGGGTGCGGGGTTGGAGTTCGTCCCCTCCCCCGGCGTGGGCTCGGACCTCTCGCTCTGGGGTGTCCCTTTACCAAGGCTTTCTGACAAGGCAGGGACAGGCGAAGCAGGCAGCTGCGTGTCAGCTTCCTTTTGCGTAGCAGGCACTTCCAGCTCTGACTGGGACTCTGGCATCAGGTCCTGTTGGGATCCCGTTTGGGAGGAATGCCAGGAGGTCGCACGAAGAGGCTTCTCCTGAAGGAGCGAAACATGCATCAGCAGCACCGAAAGCCTTAATCACTGCGGCAGGATGTGGGGCTGACTGCAACCGGGCTCCTGCTTGCCCGCGATGCCAAGGGCCTGCATCCTGGCCTGCAAGCGAAGTGGTTTTAGGTTCGGGGTTTTCGGATGAGGGTTTTGGGTGAGAGTTACAAATCTCGTGTAATTGGGCCAGGGTACCATCAAAGCCGCCTTCTGAGCAGCCAAAGCCTGAAGCTCTGGATCAGCTTCCATTGCCCCTATTATCACCAGCGGAAAGCCGGATCTAGAGCCCAAAACTGCTGTGTATTGCCGGTCGAGTCGGGGTTTAGGGGTTAGGTTTAGGGCTGCTGGGGGCCTCCCGGGCAATCCCGCCGCCAACCCGGGCATTCCCGCAGCAATCCCGGGCATTCCCGCCGCCACTCCTGGACCCCCAAACCCCCCCAAAACCACCAAAACCGCCCAAAACCCTCTGAAAACCACCCAAAACACCGAAAGCCAAGCAGAACTCCTAAAATCAGAGCTGAACTCCGAAAATCCCTGCCCAAGCTGCTGAATTGGCCTGAAGAGCCACCGAAATCGTGGCAAAACACACACACACACACATATCTCTCTCTCTCTCTCTCTCTCTCTCTCGCCTTCCCTTTCCCTTATCCTCTATCCCTGCCTCTCCTTGCCTCAGCCTCACACGAACCCTGCACCAGTGTCTTAGCTCTCCTTTTCATACCCCTGCCGACTGTGCTTCAGTCCATCTCGTCCAGGAACTTTCGCCCTGCAAACTCGGCCCTTGCGAGGCATGTCGTTTTGTGTTGCCCAGGACAAAGACGACAGACAGAGCAGCAGTGCAGGTGCGGAGGCAAAACCTTGCGATCACAGTTCGGGCAGTCTCCAATGGGCTCGCGAGCAACGGCTTCGGGGTTCAATCTGGAACACTTCTTCGAATGTCGCCTATTCTTGCGACAACCACGGCAGCAGAAAAGATTCCCTTCGAAGGCAAAACGTACACAACCTTCTGCCACACAGGACTGCCGACTTGGGTTCCCATCGGACGAAGCCATCGTTACCCACAGCCTATAGTTTCTCTAGATATTCCTGAATTATGAGCAGACCTGCAAAGTGCCATATATATCATATATGCGACCTCACCTGGTCCTAAACTTAAGCGATTATTTCTGCATCATCCAAAACTACGAGGCAGCACTGCCGGCACGGTGTGGCGGCTTCAGAGCCCGACTTGCAAGCTCAAGCGAGCACTGGATCTCGTCACTTACGGTTGTGTGTCCCGGGATCTACTAATAGTCAAAGGGGCTGGGAGGTTTAGGTGCTTGCGGTTTTAAAGGCTTGTAGAGTTTGTGGTAAAGGGGACTGGAGGTTTATAGACTTAGGGTTTTAGAGGCTTTGCGGATATATTGAGGTTATGGCTGGAGGTCTAGAGGTTTAGGGTCTTAGAGGCTTGGGATCTTATGGTTACGGGCTGGGAGGCTTAGGATTGTTCGGGAATTTTTGGGTCACACAACTTCAATATCTTGACTCCTGTCAGCAAACGATGTAATTGCGGTTCAGGGTGCAGGGTCGGACTTCGTAGGTTCGGTTACAGAACAGGCTTTCTTGTGTGGAGGAACAAGAAGATGATGCTGTTGTCGAGTGCAACCTATAACCTTAACGGCCCTATACTTAGAGGATCATGGGACTTAGTAAGTAAGGTTACAAGTAGCTTATAATTAGGATAACCCCACTTAGGGGACTTATAACCCCAATTATAACCTACTTACTAAGTCCCATGATCCTCTAAGTACCGTATGTAATAAAGCCCTGAGCCCCAGAATCTTCCAGCACCCATGAGCCCAACAATCCACATAAGCCACCGATTCCAATGAATGACCCAACTAAAGCCTGAAGACTCAAGGTAACCCCGAAAAAAACCTTCAAGACTGAAGCTAAACCCTGAAAATTGCAAGCGACCGAAAGCGTGAGACGGGAGCTCGGACCCCAAAGCCGTATCTAAACCGTAGCCAAGGATGATGAATCCGCCCTCAGCGTGATCCCTGTTTGGCTTGGATGCTTCTCAAAAAGAGAAACTTGCCAGGCAAGGGATCATTGGTTTCGGGTTGGGGTGTCTTCTGGCACTACTTCTAGGATACAGTATAAGGGCACTGGACTGCGAGATGGAGTTCTCCAGGGAGGTTCATAGTTTTCGGATTGGCTAGCTTATGCTACTGATACTAGTATATGATAAAAGCACTTCTGCTAGAATTACACACAGAACTGCATAGCCCCAGCGGGAACCCCTGCAACCCAAGAGAAAAGTTGGGGCCTCAGAAAGCCAAGCTCCCAAACATTGACACGTGATAACCTGAAAAACCCTTTTAAGGAAAAAACCCTGATACTTCAGGCCCTTCGGACATCCCAAAGAGAAACTAGCAACAAATATATAATCCTACCAAACCCTTCGGGCTGTAGAACCAACAAAGGGGATCAAGATGGTTGCGGCTGAGGTATGGAGTTCAGGGTGGTCCTAGTGCTAAAGTTAAACCCGTACCCTCAGCCCGCACCCAAAACATGGCAGCTCAGCTCGAGGTGCCACCGTCCAAGCCGTGCTGCTGGAAAGCCGCACAAAACGGCATCGCGGTACCTGCGGCTCGGCTCGTATTTCGGGCTTCGTGAAGGCGACTGGTCGGGAATCTCTGCAGCTGTGCAATCGCTGCATGACTTCACTCGCTCTTTTCTTTCTTGTGTTTGGGGCATGGGAGCTTGATTTGCACTGCTTCGCCACAGCCATGAGTCATACTTCCTTTAAGAGGCAGTGTGTGGCATCCCAAAGAAGTGCTACCTATATGCGGTCACGATTGCAGACACAACCGGTATCAGTTCAGGACCCTGTACTTTGTGGTAGGATGTGAGCTCACACTCGCCTCTGGAAAGCAGACACCCATCATGGGTTTCTAGAGAGAGCAGCACCTAGAAGCTTCATAAGAAGAGGCCCAAGTCCTTGGCGTGAACTCAGGATGGTCGCAAAAAGCTGGCCGGTCATCGCATCGCTTCATTTCAGCTGACCTCGGATAAGTGTCTCGTTGGCTGGCACTACTCGGTATAAGGTTTTAAGGCTTCAGGACTTCTAGTTGAGGGTTTAAGGTTCAGGTGGTCAAGGGCTTTAGTTTCAGGGTGTAGCGTAGATTTGGCAAAGGTTGCTTGTACCATCGGGGCACCCTGAACTTTGTCCATCTTCAACCACTTGGCAGCAAACTTCTTAGCCGCCTGGAACAGCTCAGTATCGTCCTTCACTTCGAGCAGCACGGGCCGGCAATCGGCCCAGAAAAGGCCCTGCGAACAAAGCAAGGACTAGATTGGCTCTTTCGAAATATGTTGGAGCTACGATTAGAATATAATATATGTTGAACAAACAACCAATCCTCCATCTTCGTGGTGTAGCGAAATTTGTCCCGAAGAACACAATCGAATGCATCCCGGATAGCCGTCCAAATGGCCACTGTTCTTGCACCCTTTCCCGGATTTCTCGAAGCAAACGTGCCCTTCTTCTGCGTGGCAGCCGTGTCTTCGTCGTTCTCCTTCTCCTCGGCGTCTGGCTTCTTGCTCTTCTTCTTCGGCGGAGTCGTGTCTTCGTCGTCAACTTTCTTCTTCTTGCTCTTCTTCGTGGCAGCCGTGTCTTCGTCGTTCTCCTTGTCCTCGTGGTCCTTCTTCTTGTTGCCATTCTTCTTCGGCGGCGTCTTGTCTTCGTCGTTCTCCTTGTCCTGGCGGTCCTTCTTCTTGTCCTTCTTGGGCGGGGCCGTGTCTTCGTCGTTCTCCTTGTCCTGGCGGTCCTTCTTCTTGTCCTTCTTCTTGGGCGGGGCCGTGTCTTCGTCGTTCTCCTTGTCGTCGCGGTCCTTCTTCTTGTCCTTCTTTTTGGGCGGGGCCGTGTCTTCGTCGTTCTCCTTGTCCTCGGGGTCCTTCTTCTTGCCCTTCTTCTTCGGCGGCGTCTTGTCTTCGTCGTTCTCGTCCTCCGGCTCGGGGTCCTTCTTCTTGTTGCCATTCTTCTTCGGCGGCGTCTTGTCTTCGTCGTTCTCCTTGTCCTCGGGGTCCTTCTTCTTGCCCTTCTTCTGCGGCGGCGGCGTCTTGTCTTCGTCGTTCTCGTCCTCCGATTCGGGGTCCTTCTTTTTGCCCTTCTTCTTCGGCAGCGTCTTGGCTTCGTCGTTCTCCTTCTCCTGGTTCTTCTTGCCCGTCTTCTTCGCCGTGTCCTTGTCGGTCTTCGTCGACTTGTTCCCGGATCCCTTCGGCCTTCCAGGCTTGCCCTTGGCCATGGCCGGTTTTTTTTTGATCGGCACGTCGTCGTCATCGTCGTCTTCGTCCTCGGCCTCGCACTGCTTTGCCTTCTCCCTTGCAGTCATCTGCTCGCGTCTGCTGACTTTTGCCTCAGGACTACCACCCGAATGCCTAACCTAATGGACTTTAGTAGATGATAGTTATAGTTTTTAGTTATTAGTTCAAAGCATACTCCCAACAGCAGTCCCGACATAGAACCGCCCCAATACTAAAAACCAAAGCCTCGGGAGACTACTTGACCCCATGGTATCTCTAGAGCCACCGAAACACTACAGCCCAAAGCCTGGGACCCACCCAAACATAAACTTGAGACCCCATCCCTAAAGCCCCGGAAGCCGATACGAAAAGCTAACCCAGAGGCCGATATTCTGGTATCTCGTCATACGTTAGGAATCCCACTGAAATCTTCTTATCCTGGAACCCATTTAAAGACGAAGCCTTCAAATCATAAAAAAAGCCGATACTCAACAGGATTGCCCACCTCGCATGCTAGAAGCTCAGGACTGTCAGCTTCGCCGTCTTTGACAGAAGAAACCTGCAAAGGGTGGCAGCTCAGCTCGGCTGGCAAACTTCAGATTTCAGGGCTAGGCTGTGCGGGGATTTCTTTGATGGGGCCTCCAGTGCATCGGGCAGCGGCTTTGGGGTGATTGCTGGGTCCTCGACATCCTCCATTGTTAAAGCCTGCGAAGCCTCTGCTTGGGCCTCAACTGCTGGGGCCTGCGAAGCAATTTTAGCCCGGGCAGGTGTAGCAACTGGATTTGGAGCCACTGTCGATTGTTTCGTAGCTCCTGCTGCCAAGTCATTCTCAAAGAGGGACAGGTCGCTAGCACCATCCTGTCTTGCAAGAGTCGTGGTGTCTGGCTCGTTGGGTATTGCATCGGGCTCCGGGGGCGGCATAGCATCTTCACCGAAAAGATCCCAAAGGCTCGTCTTCTGACTGTCAATGTGCTCCGAACCTGGGATGTGATGGATTGGGTATCATAATATATAGGGGGCTATCGAGTTCTCTCTTCAGGGATGAGAGGTTCGGGTTCGGGGATCAGGTACCAAAGTTCTTGGTCATATGGCTTGGGTTCATAACTGCGAGAATCAATTATCTTGCTGAGGTTCCACCCCACTTCTGGGCAGCCTGCTGGCCACTCAAAGCTGCCCGTCGATGGGCAATTCGCTGCCTTGGCTGCTTAGCTTCATGCTGTGCAAGAAAGTACCTCGAAACACTACGGCATCACACCATATCTTACTTGCAAAGAACATGAAGCAAGATGCTCGATCTCAGCAAGTTGTCGCACAAAATCAACATCATTAGCAGCCGAACACATTGTCAGGGATTTGGCTTCGTAGGGGATCGGGATTCCTGCTTCCTCGCTCGGCTCATATGCAACCGTGCCCACATAGGCCGAAGGCGGCGGAGGTGACCCGGCCTCCAAACCCATTGCTTCGGCTAAGTAGGGGTCAACCAGTTGGAAACGATCATCATCGTCCTCCGGCTCCGTTAAGGTTGTCTCGTCCTCACCTTCCTCTTCCTCCTGCTCTTCCTGTTCCTCCTGCTCATCATCATCATCTTCTTCATCACCCGAAGCCAAGGTCCGGCGTGAGCGAACCTTCGGCGCCCAATGCTTCTCCAGCTCCTGGTACAAAGCAGCGAGAGTGGCATCCTCGGATTAGGAGACTTGGCATGGAAGCTTGATGGCAGCTCTACAAGAAAGACCATCTTCGTAACCCTAAACCCTAAAGAGATCCTGAATACCGAAGAATTAAGACCAGAAACCTTCTTGCGAGAGCCATCGTTTCGTCGGTTCATGTAGCTCAGAAACATCTTGAGGCTGTGGGCCTCGCAATGAACCAATCCCCTCCGAGGGGTGATGCTGATGTCGTCGAAGAACTTTGCCACCTGGGGAATTAAGGTTTCGGGTGCTTTTCCAGGTTCAGGATTCAAGGTTTAGGGCTTAGGGGTGTTTAGGGTAACAATGCAGATAACGTAAACCTACCCCCGAAGCCCTAAGCCACCTGGTCCTTCAATGCAGCAACGGGAACGGTCTTAGTCGGAGCATCCGAGGGAACTCGAGGGCAATAGAGTCGCACCACAGCTAAGACCACCCTCCAATTGCACTTGAGGCTTGCCTTGTTAATGAGGCCGGTCTTTGATGGATTGGGCCAGAACAACAGGCTCTTTCGCTTGCGAGCACCTTTCCGAACAACCGGGTCCTCCTCCCAGGCCTCCCACAATCCTTGGATCTCTGGGACCGCCCTCTTGGAATTTTTCTTTTTCGGGGTCACAATCACAGGCACCACGGCATCGGGTTCCGCCATCTCGAAGTTTCGGAGTTGCTCTATTGACAAATCTCAGGGTCTAGCGAAGCGATATATGTTGAACAGTGAAATCGTGAAATGTGCAGTGCGACCTCGCTGGTCAAGCTGCTATGATCAGGCCAGAAAGCTGCACGAGACATGCGTGCCAGCTCACAAACATCATACACTTTCGGACTGATGCAAAGTGCAGCGGAAGGGTGGGCACTCGAAGGGCAACACGTCGCCCGGCCTGGCAGCAGTCAGTTTTTGATCGGATCTCACCATGAAGCGAACTGGCCTGCTGCACTCCAGATTTCGTGAAATGCCTGCGAGAAGTTTTTCACGACAATTAGCGACCAGCTTTAAACAAGCCAGGATCGCCCAATGAGGAAGCCAAAGAAGCCGTCCCCAAGCCTGTGAATGGATCTCAACAAGAAATCAGATTGATTGAGAGTATGCGAGCCTCCGGAAACACATAGGCTCCTTCCACTCAGTACCTCACTCCAAAGAAATTGTGGCAGCATACTTCGGCTATGAGAAGTAGGGCACCGGTAGGGCACCGACACATCGCTGCTCAGCAAAGCCTGGCACCAAACAACTCCAAAGAGATCTTAATTATACCTGAAGCGAACCTAGGGCATACGAAGAAGATGAAATCCACCAGGACGACGAGCTCCATGAAGACCTGGGCCAGAGGGCGACAGAGGGAAAGGGTGAGATACGAGATGCAATACCAGAAATCTCACTGTAGGACGGGTGCCCATGAAATCGGGTGACTGCCTGCGTAATCAGTTATGAAGGGAACAATCTGCGAAGACTATCGGCCCACATGATACAACTGATTCCCCTTCAAAGCATTGGTGGCTCTTTGCGGCCCGGCTGTGCGATCTCAGGTCTCGCCTTCTATGCTTCCTACTGCACAGAAGATCCGGATCCAGGCTGCTGCTTCTTGCGCTCGTTCTGCTTCTCGGGAGTCTCAGGCAATTCGAAGAGTCCTGGGTATGAGGTTGACCATAGAAACTTCGAAATTCCCCGAAATCGTCATATCACAAGACAATGCAAGCGAAGATTCGTAAAGCTTCTGATGCCTCCCAATATTTCTTTGCAAGCTCTCTGACCGATCCGCCCTTTTTGTAGTTCTCCACCAACACACTAATCTCCTCATGGGTCAGGACGTCCTTAGGTATCTTCTTATATGCCATCAACTGATGTTCAGGGCTCTAGGCAAGATCCTAAACAATGCCACTCGGTTGCATGAGCATTGCGATCCGGCCACAAGGTCCACTGCACTTCGTGGAACCATGCCAAGGGCATATCTTGCAATCCTTCCAAGAACCCCAGCACAAACCCAAATCTTTTATATTGTGTGCTCAACTTTAGATCGCTGTCCTGCCGTCTCGAGCAACTTGTAGCTCTCCATAGCCACAGGAAGCTGCTCAGACATGTCGATGGCTTGCTTCATGCCTAAAATCCAATCAAAGCTCGAGCCTCAAACCTCTTGTGATTTCGAGTTTGCAGCTCATGAGCACAATTGACAATCTCAAATAGCAAACTGAGCAGGTGGGCGTGCCTTCGGGGGCTGGCCGGCGATCGGAGCTCGCTTCGAGAAGCGAAAAGATGCTGCAGATACCCAAAATAACAAAACCGCCGCCAATTATGCAATCCCGCCGACAACTGAACAAACCCGCCGACAACAGAGTAAAGGCGCCTTTACCCGGCGCCGGCAATAATTTTAGGCGTCAAGGATTGCCCAGGTATATATATTTATTAAAAAAAAGAAGTTATCGCGGCCACTTTATGAAACGGATGGACGAACAGCCCGATGCAAGTAGCATCCAACACCATGCCCATGCAAGCAGCATCCAGCAGCATCATCCAGTACCACCATCCCCATGCAAACATCATGCAGCACCATGCATCCATGACAACGCCAACATGATGAATGACTAGCAAAGTATATCCTGAAACAATGCTGAAACAAAAAACGTTAAAGAGCGCCAAACAAAAAATGATAAACGAAGAATGGTATTACCCTTACCCCCCTCCCCCCCCCAGCCCATCATCACTCCGAAGCAGGACGCACCGGTCACACACCGGGCGTCGTCAGCAATAATTAACTATAACCATAGATGCTACATAAACAACAAACAAAAAATAATGAAGTAAATAAACCCGAAATACATACTTGTTAAACAGCCAATAGCCCAAATTATAACAGCTCAAAACGAAATCAATAAGTACATACACATAACAATGGGTAAATTGAACAACGAATAAATACTACACGACAACAAAAAAGAATGAATAACACAAAAAGCAGATATCTCATACAGAACCAATAGTCTATAAATAAAAGTTGAAAAGCAAAAAAGAGCGGTAACAAAAACAACGTGAAAAACAAATCAGATAAGATCGTGATAAAAAACCAGAAAGTAAACAACAAACAAGTACACGACACGAAGTAAAACATAAGTTCGACCAAATAGAAGGGAATATTAACCTGAAATTAACAAAATTCTTCGTACAAAAATAAGTCCATATGTTATATATATATAACATATGCACACACACACGTATAGAAATAAGAATGATTCATGTATGTTTATGTAAATATTTATAGCGATATTGATACTAATATCAATATTACGGTTCATATTAAGATCATCATTAAGACTAGTATTGGTCATAAAACATGTATATACACAAACGCATTGACATATGCACATGCCACTTCATGACGCGATATGCATGCATACGTATATACATACATACATACATGCATACATACACAGACACATGCATACATACATACACAAACATAACGAATTAAACGCTACGGTACTCAGAAACGAATCCGGAACATCGTGAACAACGTTCGATTTGGGAACCTGTCGCAGTGCCTTCGCTTATGCATGACACACGACACTACTCATACATGGTGCACGGCCGTCGTCCGGAAATGCCATGTGCGGATGGCTCGAATAGGTGAGCCACAATGGATTGTGGAATGCTTTTCGAATGTGAATCAAACAAGCATGTTCCAAAGAATCCAGCTCCTGAATTCTTTCGGGGCGTGAAAACACACCAGTGGAAAGCACACGCAGATCTTTTAAATCTTTATGAGCTTTCGGCTTTTGATAACAGCTCAAAAAAGCCCTCGACCCCAAACAGGTCTACCTCTGGCTCGAAGCCGGGAGGAAAACCATGTCTCTACTGCAAGAATGCCTCACCACACCCCTGAAGTGAGAATGCCCTCCCCCACCCAAGACCTTGCAACCAAAACCGTTAAGTTGAATTGAAAAACATCGCCATTGCAGGTGAAGCGGCTGCAGGGCTGTGACGGACAAGGGGTGCCGTGGGCCCACCACAAGCTCCTTGGTGCGTGCGTCAACACATTGTATACAGTGCACTTGGGCTTCGAGGCCTCCAGGCTGTGGTTACAGACGTCGGGATGACATCAAAAAAGGCTTTTGTTTTTGCGGCTTCGTTGAACCTTGCCAATGTGGCGCACTCACGTCTACTGCAGCTTGGAGTTTCGGGTGTTGGGGGTATGTTGGGCGAGTCGTTGCTTTACGGTTGCAAGGCTGTCGACAGTGGTTCCGAGTTGTACCTGATGCCCGTCCACCGCAACTATGCAAGGCTTTGTTGTTGTGTGAGAGAAACTGTCCGTCAATGAAGGCACTTATTGGCAAGCTGCCACTTCGACCGAAACACACATCAAAGCCAAAATGTGATACTCATCTGCAAAGCGACGGCTGCTTGGGTTTGCATGCATGCAGCTGGATCCGCACCTGACAACAGTTTTCAGTACAGAGAGTGTTACAATAAATTTCTGTCGGCTCTCAGAAAAGCAAAACAGCTTAGGGAGTATCTGCCCCTGTGTCCTTCTGGTTGGGAGTCCTTGAAAAGTGTGGGAGTTTCACATTTTCACTGAATGTAGAACGTGCCACTCACCATTCAGGTCGGCAAGTGTGTCGTACTCGTACTCCGGACCGTAGGGCCATCACGGTCAAAGAAACAATCAGTCTAAAGCCTGAACGCAAACAAGCCGAACTATGTCCAGCTGCTACACCCAAGAAGCCCGCAACACACTCCGATACACACTCCACAAAAGCCCCGAGAAGCGTAGATCCCCAAAATATCT